TTAACATTAAATCTCTTAATTTTTATCTTTTAGGAATACCAGATACTCCCTTCAGTAAGGACAGAAATGGTCATGTAAAGCGACCCATGAATGCATTTATGGTTTGGGCGAGGATCCACCGGCCAGCACTAGCCAAAGCTAACCCAGCCGCCAACAACGCAGAAATCAGTGTCCAACTCGGGCTGGAGTGGAACAAACTTAGCGAAGAGCAAAAGAAACCTTATTATGACGAAGCACAAAAGATTAAAGAAAAGCACAGAGAGGAATTTCCTGGTAATCAATGAAATGAACAAGGGCTCTTTTACATTTCTTTAAAATTTATTAATAAAGATTGTTAGGATGAGACTGAAAGATAAATAGATATAATTTTCCCCCAAAACTGCTATGTGCAAGAAAGAGAATAATGGTTAATACTATAGTAATACTTGAGACCAGGCCTAAGTTTCCTTAAATAGAACCAAGGAAGAAGATAGTTGATTTCATACTTACTAATGCAAACCACAAACATAGAGTTTCATTGTAGTCTTGATTAAATGTATATAGATACTATAGATGTAAGTTTAATGAAGGTAAATCTCTAGAATTTTAGGGTATAATTTTGAAAATATGCTAGAAAGATTGAAATCTATGCAACAGAAAAAATGTGTAGCACTCACTTGTGAGAATGCAGGGATTAACACTATGCTCCATTTTTATATCATATGATTATCAGAACATAGATTTTTCCCCACCATGATATGTCGTTTGAAATGACGGATTCCTGTCCATCAGTAAAGAAATTGAGATTAAGCATAAGAAAATGGATAGTGTATAGTGAACATAAGTATTCAAGACGGGAAAAGAATTTCTGCAGTATTAGCAGAGAGGTTTTAGGATGATCAGAGGTGGCAACTGCAGGGAACCAAAGGTTCTTTCTGGCTACAACTGTCAAAACTTCCTTCTCCCAACTTTGGAAGAAAATTGAATTATTTATAGTTTTGGAGATAGCCAAATCTGGAAGAGCAACTCTTCCTGAACTAGGCATAAAAATTGTGACTAATTATTACTATTACATTATAAGATATAGACAGTTGTATCTTATAGAAAGGAAACAGGAGGCAGTGAGTAATGATTTAGTAGGGAATTGTTTTATAAGTGGAGGAAAAGCACTGGGAGTCAACCTAAATGGCTTTGATGTAGATTGTGCTCCTGATTGTGTGTCGCTTGATTGAGTCATTTGATCTTCTTCTTCCTTTTAGTTATGGGTTACAAAATTGGCCGCCATCTCGTGGCTGTATAGGTATATATGTTAAGACTCAGAAAAATCTTTTTTCTTTTTTTTTTTTTTGACAGAATCTATGGAGTTCAAGCTGCCCTTGAACTCACCATGTAACCTAGCCTGACTTTGAACTCTTGGCAATCCTTTAGCCTTGGCCTACTGAGTGCTGGGATTACAGGTGTGCTCCACCACACCTGGTGTGAAACTCTACTTTAGACAACAACCGACTTTTAAAAAATTTTGAAGTGTTTTGTATTTTAATGTCAAGCTGAGGCTATACATTTATAATAAAAACAGTCTATCTTCTTTAGGTTGGGTTTATCAACCTCGTCCAGGGAAGCGGAAACGCTTCCCTCAAAGTGTTTCCAGTGTATTTTCTGGTACCACACAGAATATTATCTCTACAAATTCTACAACAGTTTATCCTTATCGTTCACCTACCTACTCTGTGGTAATTCCCAGCCTACAGAACACCGTCACTCATCCAGTTGGTGAGTTAGTTGTATTATGGATTACTATCTTTTAAATAGTGGTGTGAAATTTTTACCCCTTAAATTGCAGTTTAATTCATTAGGCTTAGAATTTGAGCAACAGTATTAAATGGGAAACTCAAGAAGAGAAAAAGTAAGAACATTAAATAGGAGAAGGGAAATGTTCAGTAAACATCAAAACACGTGGTTTGCCAGAAGGCAAATCCAGATCTTTTAAGCAAGTCAGGATGAGCCCCTAGATTAGTCCAATAATGGGGAAATGAATGAGGTAATTCAATAGGAAATGGGTGTGACTTTTTACTCTCAGAATAAGAGAATGCATTGCTAATGGGGTATGACGGTGAGGCATCCTGTTCTGGGATTTAGTAAATACTGATCTGTTAAAAGATGGTTCTGTCACTGCTATAAAGAAACAATGGAAGTAATCCATTTTCTACCAAATATTTGTTTTGTTCATGCTATCCTCTCTCTCTAAATTTCTTCATTATCACTTCTTTACAACATTCCTTCTTCCTATTGATGTAAAAACCCCAAAGTGAGTAGCTTGTATCTTTAAGAGCTTGTTGTTGTGCTATCTATCATTGGTTTGTACTTCCAGAGTCAGTTTTAATCACCTCTTTGGGAAAGCTTTATTCATTTAATACTTATCACATGCCTTAAAACTACTTCAGATAAATATTCTTAAAACAGTTCTTTGTAATTTCTACCTCCTCCTGAAAATAAAGCCTCTTTTACAAACTGATTTAGGTGTCTTGAAAATTGAATCATTAGAATCATGTATTTTAAATTTAAAAATGTATCATTTTAGCAATTAGTAGAAACAAAGCCACATTCAAGATGTCTAGGCTTAAAAGAAAGATGCAGAAAGTTAATACTGTAGCCTTGTTTCCCCAGTGCAGTCTGGTGCTCTTACCCTTCACCTTTTGGTAGTGTTGCCTTTAATCCTGTAATTCAAAGTAGGTTTATATACCTTGTTTTTATGCTGATATTTATGACTTTTGTTTTCATAATACACATTTCTTCTCTTTATCCCTTTTTCATGACTTCACTTACATCTGCTTTTATCCACCTTTATATGCTGTATGTTTTCTCAGGAACAGATTTATCAATAATTTATTAGAGATCATATATGATGTGTTAATTTTATACCTTCTGAAAAAAGATATAGGGTGGGTATAAAATGCAAATTTTTCTGCTGATGTTGATAGGCTTCTTACATCCAGGCTATTGTATTTAAGGTAGAATTATGGGAAGCATTTTAGAACCATACACAACAGTAACCACGGATAATGTAGTGATTCTTTATTATTATTTTATGATACCCTTTATTTGTAGTAAGAAGTAGAGTCAGGAAAAGTTCCTTTCTTGGATCAAAGTGATAAGCAGTTATTTTCCCAGATATCTGTCATAATAAGTGATGAGGTTTATATGCCATTGTGCTGTTCAATCTCTCAGATTTGAAATATGTTATCTCATCAGCTTGGCATTATATCACTTAGAAGAGTTAGTACCACTTGCACATTTGAAAATTTCACTATATATTTCATATTCTAAGTCATTTATAAAACTGTTAAATAATAAAATAGTTTGGAGAACCACAATTTGAACTCATCATCTGCAGATACTAATCTTCGATCCTCTTGTTTCTCTCAACTTCAATTCTAAATATAAAGTCAAATTCTTTTTTTTTTCTCATTGAATTTTTTGGTACATTTTAGGTATACAGTATATAAAGTCAAATTCTAAAGTCACAGTAATTTTGTTTTTAAAACATGTTTTATTCCATTAGAAGAAAAATGTAAGGTATTAAGGTATTATTTTTCTTTGACAGAAACAGTTTATCCTTTTCTCTACCAAGCTTTGTGCATTAAAAGGATACTGTACAGACTTGACCAGCTTTAAAGCTATAGAAATAAACTTACCAGGCTAGAGTGCCGAAGGTGTCACTGCTTTGACTAAGTAGAAGTTGTGTTGACTTTCCAAACATTCTCTGGAAGACCCCATTTTTATTTACTTTATCTAATTTGTCTTAGTTTACCTTTGAATTTCCCTACAGTTCTTAGGTGGAGGCTACTTAAAATCTATTTTTTTAAATTCATTTTTTTCAATTTGGATTAAAACCTCCTGTGAACTTGCCGCTATGCTGTAGTTGATCTGATATTCTACAATTATCTGCTCTGAAAATTAGAGTTTAGGAAACTCTTCCTTTTTTTGCAATAAGAAGGAATTTATTGAGTCTTCAACATTTTCTGTTAAGTCTTTTTCCCCTACCCATTATTTGCATTCCAGAAATTGAATAACTCCAGGGTGGACTTTTTTTGTCTTATTAATCAGGAATTTAAATGTAGAAATGTTGTGATTATTACTGTATGATGTTTCAAATACTGAATTTATGGATTTTTCTAGTAATCTCTCTCCATCATTTGACTTTCAATGAAGCTTAGTTCATTTTACTATGGGTGTACTAACCCCATTTGTTCTAATAAGAAGGAATCGTTTGTTTTGCACCAAATCTTCCCAGAACATCTTTATCTCATTAAGATATTTAGTCCATTTGAAAATTGAAAATGTAATTTGACATTATTCTGTTTCTGAAGTTTTGTATCTCAGATGTTTTCTGAGTAAATTCTAGTGCGACATTTGGATCCGTCTGCCTGCCCTCTCTCCTGCCTAATATTTATTAAATACCTCTGCTAGAGAACTTTTTATTTATCAGTAAATACTTTAATTCATTTATTTATTCATCTAAAAATAGTTTAGATGCCTGTTTTGTGGCAGTCAGAATTTTGTGCCTGGGAAACAGTAGTGAACATAGCAAAAAAGGCCTCTGCAATTTACAGTCTAGTTGAGAAGGACAAGAAAGGTATAGAGACTGGAAACTACAATGATTTCCATTTGGTTGTCCTATAAAGGAAATATAGTGGTTTGATATAATGGTGCTGTGAGGTAAGATGGTTAATGAAGGGCTCTGTTTGAACAGTGCAGTAGATTTTCTGAAAAGAAGAGCATGTAGTAATCCAATGAATGCTTGACCTATGCTGTTTGCTTTTATTCCAGGTGAAGCCCCACCTGCCATCCAGCTGCCCACACCTGCAGTCCAGCACCCAAGCCCCATCTCACTTTTCCAGCCCAGTGTCTCCAGTGATGTCCAGGTGGCCGTCCAGGCTCCGAGTCTGCCCCTGCCCCCGGCAATTCCACCTCAGCCCCTCCCTGGGCCTTCCCAAGCAGACACACATCTGCTGCCTTCTGGACCCAGTCTCTCTGTGAAGAGACCCACTCCTGTCTCTTTTGAGAGCACCAGTAGTATTTCAACCAGTGCAAGTACTGCCAATGCCAGATTTGCAACACCAACCATCCAGCGTCCCAAGGAGTACTCCAGTGTTTCCGCATGTCCCAGGAGTGTTCCCATCCCCCAGGTTCCTCCCGTTCCACATTCTCATGTCTACCAGCCATCTCCTCTTGGCCATCCAGCCACACTGTTTGGGACGCCAGCACGATTCTCTTTTCATCACCCTTACTTCCTACCTGGACCTCACTACTTCCCATCAAGGTAAATGAATATTTTTTTTCTTTTTATCTGAAAATATTGCTAATGATCGTTTTGTTTTTTACTCATGAAAGCATCTCTTTTACTAAAAAGGAGGAGAAACATTTATCAATTCTGTTTGGGAATAGAATTTAGAGGCCAAATAGGAGCCAGACAATTAACACAAATGGGTGAAGGGAGTGAGATAACGACTAGGAAGCCAGAGAGAGTGCATGCACCACCTAATGGGGCAGCTACTGCTCAGCAGATGTCAGCTTTTACTCCATGAGAATATAGGCTCTGATGTTGTCAGACATGATTTTTCACAGAAAACATCTAAAAGAGACCTTAAGACCATCTAGTCAAATCCCTTTATTAACAGAACTGTACTTCTAAAAATTTATCATGTATATAAATTATGTGGCAACTTGTTAAAATGCAGACCCCTAATGTATTAGGTCTGGTGTATAGCAGTATCCTATCCTGGGGTATAATCACCTGGTATTCTGCATTTCTAATAAATTCCCATGTAATGTCAATTCTGCTAGTTTGGGGAACCACATTTGAACAATAAGGTACAGAGACAAGCTTTCTAAGAAAGGCAAAATGATTAGTTCACAGTAACACTTCTGTTCAGTGTCCTTTTTACCAAACCAGAAAATTTCCCATGTAAATTACCAATAAAAGTAATTGATTTTTCAGAGGAAAGTGTCTAGGGAAAAACGAATTTAGGATGTTTCCTCTTGAAGTGATAGAATTTTAACTCCCTTGCAAATATTCTGGTAATGAACTCTGTTTTTCAGTTATTTTTAACTGTGTAGCAGATGGTTTCTATTGGGATTGGGCTGTTAACTGTTTAACACAAATCAATCTTCTCATTCTTTACTTCCAAAGTAAGACTACTCCCCAGGTGGGTATGTATACTGCTCCTCAAAGCAAACAGCTTTGAGGATAAGACTATTACTTTGTTTCAGTTGCTCATGGGATCGGTTGCTTTAAAATACTTAGCTCAAGAACAAAAGAAAGTGGAAAGAGAGGACTTAGAACAGTAGAAAGAATACTTTGCTGTTGGAGGTTTGTTTTATTTTTATTTTTTTGTATACTTTTTATCCTTAGCACTTTTCAGGAATGTTTTAGTTCAAGAAATCAAACTGAAGAAACTCCTAAAGCCAGGAATTGATATTCTCTCCCCGCTGCTATCTACCAAAATAAAGATTTTTAAAGAAATTTCAGAATATTTTATAAAATATTTTTTAGAAGAAGTGTATTAAGGACATAACAGAATGAAATGAATTAGAAGATTTGGTCATACTTCGTCTTAGTTAGAACCTTGATGTCCATAAATACATTGCAGAAATTTTGTTACATGATTCATTTTATAATATAGAGAAAGGCTTGGACAGTTTTACAGAAAAAAAGACAAAGAATTAATGAGAAAGGGCATGTCCTACAGTTTCAGTCTAGCTGTTATTGTTTTTTGTAGTTTGTAGACCTGTATGTTTTCTTTTAAGTGTTTTGAGGGCCAAGAATTTTTACATGTAATTCTCACAACAATTTTGTGATATGGATATCATATTCACTTACTTTTTCAGATAAATCGGTCAGATGTTCAGTAGCTTAATCAAAGTTACATAATGGTAAAGTCAGTAGTCAAATTTAAGTTTGTCTATGAATTTTCCATTCCATATTTATTTTCTTTACTTTAGGAAGACTTCTCAGTATAATGACTCCTCTTGGTTGGCAGCTGTTCATTGCTAGCAGATAATCATATAGAAAATAAATTCAGTATATTTTGAATGGAAAGTCTTGTGGTCAAGTGAATGTGCACACATTGTTTCCTTTAATATTAAATAGACTAAACAGTAAGAAATATATATATTCCTTTATGACAAGGTTTATTAAATTTGACTATTAGGATACAAATCACCTGACACTTTAAAGAAGAAAACTTTTATTAGAAAATTCTTGGTTTATTTTTGTTTGTTTGTTTGTTTTTGGTACTGCGGATTGAACTCGGGTCCTTGTGCTTGTGAGGCAGGCTCCAGAACCACTGAGCTAAATCCCCAGCCAGAAAATTCTTAGAATACAGAAACTGTATCTTTTTATTTATCTTTAATGCTATTATTGCTCATTAATGATAATGCTCTTAGAAGAACCTCAAAGTGAAGTGAATAAATAGTATTATACGTAGTACAACTGAATGTTACTTTTTGTAAGAATGTGAAAGGGGTGCATCAGCTATAAACATTCAGGTGCATGTAGTTTTCTAAAACAGAAGACTAGTCTCATAATAATACTAATGATAATATCTTGCAATTGCTTTTCTGATTTTACCTGCATTTGTCTGATGGTAATTTTCCACAGGAAATGGATAATCAAATTGTTTGAGTTTGCCTTCATGGTATGTTTCTGTAAAACTGAGTATGGGTAAATGACAAAAATAATCGATGCTCTCTGTATTTCGTGTCACCAAAACTGGTAATGGAATCTTGTATAAAAAACATATTTTCTCTAATCTAATCTATTTTATGTGGAAGTATTTAATAATTTCAGTAATTATAATGAGCATTTGAGATATAAATATTTTGTGTTTATTTTTTGTATTTATTTATTATATTTTATTTATTTTTCGCTGAACAGACCATTATTTCCTGTAGATCTAGAATAAAAATCAATTAGGCAATTTATAAAGAGATCACTTTGTAAAACAGATGGACATTCAGAAGTGTTGATCTCTTTCTGAGGATTAACTTCGTCTTATCTTTAAATCTTGTTATCTTTGCACAGTTCTTTCCCCAAGTCCTCATTTTAAGTGTACTACATCAATTCATTAGGCTAGTTCTCCTTTTTGATTCACTCCCCTTTACCTTCTTACAGCATAGCTTTGCTCTTCTATGTCATATATATATACGTATATATATATATATATATAATATTCTTGACTCTGCCTATAATGTTTACAAAGTGTTAAAAACCTGATGCAAATATAAATATATGGAATATATACTTAGATATGAATATATGTTGGAACAATAAGTCCATCTAATTCCTGGATTTGTAGGAATGGATAGCATCCTAACTGTAAAATTTTAGGCAAATGTTTCACAAGATAAAAGCAGTTTTCCTTAAACTTTGTATGTACCATAGAATCACTTAAGAATTTGAAGTTATGGACTCCCCCAGTTGTTGGGTCAAAAATGCTTCTCAAAGGCATCATGCATTTATAGGTGGAGCTTTTATAAGGTAATTAAATCATGCAAGTTATATAGTTGACTTTGCTATTAGGAAGTGGGGTCTGTTTAGAAGAAGAGGTTATATCTCCCTCCCTGGTTCTTCCCTTCCATCTCTTCTTACTGTCCACTAAGATGAGAGCAGATTTTCCTTCACTAAGCCTCCCTGCCGTGCTGCATTAGAGCCAGCTGACTATAGACAGTAACTGCAAGCCAAAATGTATTTATCTTCCCTTTAGTTATAGGTGTTGGGTATTATGTCTCAGTAAAAAAAAAAAGTGACTAAGAGAGATTTTGGTATAAAAAAAGTAGTGTTGTTGCTGTGAATATACCTGACCATATGGCTTAGAATCCTTTAGAAGTGGTTCATGGCAGAATTCTAGAAAGGTTTGCAAATTCTGGCTAGAGAAGCCTCAGAATTCTGGAAGCTGAGTTTGAGGGGAATTTCTAGTCAGAACTCAGAACACTACAATGCTGTTAGAAATGAAGATGGTAAATCCCAAGCTTACGAAGTTTCATTTGGGAACAAGAACTCCATTGGCAGTTTGGACTCAAGATCATGGGTATTATGTTCTGGCAGAAAACTTGTCTTCAGTTTGCTCATGTCCTGAAACTTTGTGGGAAACTGAGATTAAGGATGGCAGACTAATCTGGCAGAGGAACTTTCAGTTCAGTCCAGTGTTGAGGCTGTGGTACGGGTACTTCTTGTGACTCTTTAAACATAATGTCTGCTACAAAATAGGACCAAAAACAGATCTGAATAAAAAAATTTAATAATTTTTTCTAGTGACAAGAAAGGAAGCACATGTAAAATTTAGGCCTGTAAAATTGTAACCTGTATAATTTTGACTCAGGAGAGATTGGTTGCTAAAAAGATTAGCATTAAAAAATAGAAGCCAAGTACTTTGCATAAGGACAGTAGAAAAGATAACTTGAGGGCATCTTAGGAATCTACTAGACCTCATCTGTTGTAGGCTAAAAAGTGCAAAGGTATAAAGCTTTATGTAAGAAAAGAGTCTCAGGCCACCCTGTTAAAAAAGGGCTGCCTATGTAATTGGTTCCCTAGGATCCTGTTCATAGTTCTCAGTCATCTTGGTACTTGGAGGCTGCTGTAGCCATGGTCCAAGGGGCCTGGCTACTGCTTGTGCTGGTGGCAGACCTTGGTGTCATCTATGTTGTGGTGGTTTTACTCACTTGAAAAATGCAAAAGTTTGGGGTCAGTGAGGTTTCCATCTAGATTTTGGAAGAAGGCCCAAGAGTCCAGGCAGTGTGCCCCTGAAAGGAAAGTTCATGAAGCTGAGAGAGTGAAGTTGAAGGTGCAGTGGAGACCCCAGGAAGGTAGAGAAACCAAGAACATGGAACAGCTGCTAAAGTAGCCACAGGCAGTGAGTCAACATTCCTGAGAGATATCATGAGAACTCTAGCTGGCAGTGCTGTAGGGTCAGGTTGTCCATACTATTTGGAATTGACAGCGTACTGCAGTTTTCTTGGGGTGCTGGATGTGGAGCAGCTGTAGGATTTAATATTTGATCTGCTAGATTTTGGTCCTGCTTTGTTCTATTCTTTTCTATCTGCCTATTTCTCCCTGTTGGAATGAGGGATGTTTACGCTGTGCCATTGTATGTCAGCAGTGTTTAACTTCTTTTTGCTATTTACAGTTGCCCACATCTAACAGTTTGAGACTCAGAAGAGACTTTTGATTTAGCTTTTTCAAAAATGCTGAAACCATTAAGACTTTGACAACTGTTAGAGATGAACTAAGTGTATTTTGCATAAAAAGATGCATGTGAGTCT